AAACCCATCTGGTTCACTAATGCCCTTTATAGGGAAGGAAACTACCATCCTTACCTGGTCTGGTCTACATGTGAGTCCAGACCCACAGCAATGTGGTTGACTCTGAACTGCCCTCTGGGCAATTAGGGATGGGTAATAAATGCTGGCCTGACAGTGATGCCCACCCAAGGAATAAATAAAACCCTCTACTTCATTGTGTCACGTGCAAGGCACATGTACACAGAGCAGGTGCAACAATGAAAGGAGGTTCTGCAGCAAAGACATCTCTAGGACTGTTTGGGAGTGGGGAGTGGATTTCAGACAGGGAGGGTAATTGGAAAGGGGGGGACAGATTTAAAATATGGCCGGATGGGGATGGGCAACTGGATCAGTAAAAGGGGGATCAAAGGGGCTTCTCCCATTTCCCATTCTTCTCCCCAGCTTTCTCCACACAACACCCCCACACTCCTCCACCCCACAGATGCACAGTCTTTCTTTTACACCCATGCACACACTCAGTCTCTTACACACACACTCTCACACACACGCATACACACACACACACACACACACACACACCTTGGAATCCCTCCTCCCAGATCATCCCCACTCCCACTCCCTCCCCCCATCCACCTTCCAGATTCCCACTATCCTGAAACCATGCAGCGAAACACTTTAATGAATCTCATTCACTAACACTGTGTAAACATCTCCCTAGAGCACACTGCACATGCTCCCAGTGTCAGCAGTAACAGCGTTTATGTTTAGGAGATAGTAGGAACTGCAGATGCTGGAGAATCTGAGATAACAAGGTGTAGAGCTGGATGAACACAGCAGGCCAAGCAGCATCATAGGAGCAGGAAGGCTGACGTTTCGGGCCTAGACGTTTTACCGCACTGGGCTTTCCCCTGCTCCACAGTCATATGACAGAAATTATCCAACTCTATCAGAACTGGCGCAGTCAATTCAACAGTGGCCTTGAGGTAATGTATTCCCATGGTTATGTGGCAAATAACCTCAAATAACCTCTGGTGTCTGACTCCGCTGGAAGTGGAAATGGGTTCCCAGTATTTAATCTAGCAGCACCACCCCCCACCTCCAACAAAACACAGCTTCCCTCATAAATGTGATCCAATTCTTCTTTAACCTTTTGTGCTCTGAGGAAAACAACCTCAATTTCTCGACTCCTTCCAGCTTCTCAAACAACCCCGGACACTGTACTTTGGGAATGGTAATGCGGCCATGAGAAAAGATTTACGAAATTGGTTCCAGGGATGTGGAAATTCAATCACGTGGATAGATAGGAAAAGTTGGGACTGTTTTCATCGGAACAGGAGAAGGCTATTCAGCCCATCAAGCCTGATTGGCCCTTCAACATGTTTATGGCTGCTCCAGCACTTTACGCCACTGATAATCAAACATTTATCAAGCTCGGCTTTAAACATTCTCAAAGTCTGAGCTTCTTCAGCCCTCAGTGGGAGAGAATTCCAAAGATGCACCACCCATGAGTAAAACAAAAATTAATCATCTTGGATCTACATGGCATCCCTCTTTATTTTTAAATTGTGCTCCCTGGTTATAAACTCCAAAACTGGAAGAAACGTCTTCTCTGTGTCTACTCTGTCTGTCCCTTTAAGAATTTTGCTGGTTTCAGTGAGATCGCATCATTCTTTGATCCTGTAGTGAATACAGACCCAGTCTGCCCAACCTCTCTCCATAGGACAGTTCCACCATGTCAGGTACAAGTCCGTTGAACTTTTGAAGAAGGGTCACTTGACCCAAAATGTTAACTCTGTCTCCCCATAGATGCTGCCAGACCTACTGTGTTTCTTCAGCACTTTAGGTTTATATTTCTGATTTTCAGCATCCACAGTTCTTGTGGTTTTTCCATTGAACTTTTGTTACACTCCCTGTATGGTAAAATGATGAGGCATACATAGAGTGGATAGTCAGAGACTTTTTCCCAGGCGGAAATGACTATTACGAGGGGGCATAATTTTAAGGCGATTGGAGGAAGGTATAGCGGAGATGTCAGAGGTAGGTTCTTCACACAGAGAGTGGTGGGCCTGTGAAATGCACTGCCGGCAGTGGTAGTGGGGTCAGATACTTTAGAGACTTTTAAGCGACTCTTGGATAGGCACATGGCGGATTGTAAAATGGAGGGTATGGAGGGTAGATTGATCTTAGTAGGATAATAGGTCGGCACAGCATCGTGGGCCGAAGGGCCTGTACTGTGCTGTACTGTTCTATGTTCTGTGTTCTATGTTCTTAATATCTTTCCTTAGGTAGGGAGATAAAACTGTGCTCCTTTGAGAATAGAAGGTTTGTGAGGAGATTTGACAGAGATCATCAAGGTCATGATGTATCTGGACAGAGTAGATAGAGACAAACCATCCCCAATGATTGAGGCAGATTCAAGGGAATTGGGTCATTTGAGGGAGAATTCCTCAGGTAGTAGGAAGGAAAGAGAAAGCGGGAATGTGATTGGCTGAGTTTGCAGAGAGCCAGTATTGACATGATGGGCCGAATGGTCGTCTGTGGTTCAGTAATTATTCTCCTGACCCATTGTTCAAGCCAACCCCTAAGCAGAAGGCAAATCTGAGGGAGCAGTTAGACTGGGTTTGTCTGAGACCAGTGTAGGGACTCAGAGGAGTCGATCAGAGGAAATTGTTTCTGTGGGTGCGATCGCTGCAGGGAGCAACAGTTTTGTCACAAAATAAATATTACTAATGATGATTATTGAGGAGTGGCAAATGGAGTTTAATTTAGATAAATGTGAGGTGCAGCATTTTGGAAAGGCAAATCAGGGCAGGACTTATACACTTATTGGTAAGATCCTGGGGAGTGTTGTATGAACAAAGACACCTTGGAGTGCAGGTTCATAGTTCATTGAAAGTGGAGTCGCAGGTAGATAGGATAGTGAAGAAGGCGTTTAGCATGCTTGCCTTTATTAGTCAGTGCATTGAGTTTAGGAGTTGGAAGGTCATGTTGCAGCTTTACAGGGCATTAATTAAGCCACTTTTAGAATACTACGTGCAATTCTGGTCTCCCTGTTATAGGAAAGATGTTGTGAAACTTGAAAGGGTTCAGAAAAGATTTACAAGGATGTTACAAAACTAGAAGTTGCTGGAAAAGCTCAGCAGGTTTGGCAGCATCTGTGAAGGAAAAAACAGAGTTCATGTTTTGGGTCCAGTGACCCTTCCTCAGAACCAGACTGGAAACATGAACTCTGTTTTTTCCTTCACAGATGCTACCAGACCTGCTGAGCTTTTCCAGCAACTTTGTTTTTCTTCCTGATTTACAGCATCCGCAGTTCTTTCAGTTTTTACAAGAATATTGCCAGGTTGGGAGGGTTTGAGCTACAGGGAGAGGCTGAATAGGCTGGGGCCGTTTTCCCTGGAGTATCAGAGGTGAGAGATGACCTTATAGAGGTTCATGAAATCATGAGGGTAAATAGACAAGGTCTTTTCCCCAGGGGAGTCCAAAATTAGAGGGCATAGGTTTAAGGTGAGAGAGGAAAGATATAAAAGGGACCTAAGGGGCAACTTTTCACGCATAACGTGGAGAGTATATGGAATGAGCTGCCAGAGGAAGTGATGGAGGCAGGTACAATTACAACATTTAAAAGGCATCTGGATGGGTATATGAATAGGAAGGGTTTAGAGGGATATGGGCCAAATGCTAGCAAATGGAGTTAGATTAATTCAGGATATCTGGTCAGCATGGACGAGTTGGACTGAAGGATCTGTTTTCGTGCTGTACATCTCTATGACTCAATGATAGCCCTCCATTGCTCAAACCCATTGAATATAGGAGTTAGGATGTCACACTGGGTTTGTACAGGGTGTTGGTGAGGCCACTTTTGGAGTACTGTGTACAGTTCTGGTTGCTCTGCTATAGTAAGGATATTATTAGATTGACGAGGGTGCAGAAAAGATCTACAACATTGGAGGGTTTGAGTTATAAGGAAAGGCTGGATAGACTGGGACATTTTTTCACTGGAGGATAGGAGGTTGAGGGGTGACCTTATAGAGGTTTATAAAATCATGAGGGACATAGACAAGATGAATAGCAAAGGTCTATTGCCTAGGGTGGGGGATTTCAAAACTAGGTGACATATTTTTAAGATGAGAGGAGAAAGATTTAAGAGGGACCCAAGGGGCAACTTTTTCACACAGAGTGTGGTTTGTGTGTGGAATGAACTGCCAAAGGAAGTGGTAGATGCTGGTACAGTTACAACATTTAAAAGACATTTGGACAGGTATATGAATAAGAAAGGTTTAGAGGGATATGGGCCATACGCAGGCAAATGGGACTAGTTTAATTTGGGAAACTTGGTTGGCATGGACGAGTTGGACCGAAGAGTCTGTTTCCTTGCTCTCTGACTCTTGGGTCCCAAAGGAACACAAAATCATGGTATAAATTGCTTGCACTGGCCCTGCAGTTCTACCTTGTAATTGAGTAAGGTGAGTGTGGTTAGCCTGTGTTATATGGTTAAGGCTCAGTTCGGAACTGAGAGGCCCCAGAGCTCCCATTGCACTTAAATCTGTCAAGCTTCGAATGTGAAGGAAATTCCAACAGGTGCTGGGTTGCTACAAATCCCTGACGAGGAAAGATACAGTTTATAGTCCGTGACCACTTGGCTATAGATCACGCTGCGTTAGAGCTTCGTGCAAGCTACTTTGTCTTGTGTTACTCCTGTCTGTTGGTGACCCGTCATTAAGTTGTTTGCAGCGAAGAGCTGCCTTGCGTCTACGTGGCTTGTCTCTCAAACATGCAACTGTAGCTGACAAACCTCCTCTCCAAGCACCCAGCTTGTGGCCTTTTGTTCTTGCTGACTCGCTTAAGTACACCAGCAGATGTGGAAAGCTTCCTGTCTGTAAATAACAAAGTGGCAAAACTGGCTGCTATCAGAACCTTCACAATTCCTTCTCTGTGTGTGGCACAGCAGCCTGAAATTGGTTTGGCAGAGGACACGGTGCTTTCACTCATGTTTGTTCCTTTTTTGTCTCAAATTTAAGGTGCAGAGCCCGACATCTTGCCTGCAGATCCAAGATGGAGTCTCCCCACCTGTGTTTACAAAGGTCAGTCTTGTATAACCCATTGTAGCCAAAAGTCTGTTGGGGCTGGGATCACGGGGAGAGTAAAAAGTCCAAATTTGTCTGATTTGTGTCACGGCCACTCGGTGAGGCCAAGTGTAAGAGGTTCTATCTAGGTTTGCTGGGAACTGATTTATCTGGGGGGGTTACAGAGGTCAGCAAGGTGGGGGAGAGTATGAGGGGTGGGGGGAAGGTAAGGCATCACTGAGGCCTTGCTTCACTCGTTTTGTTGCACATGTATGCAGTAAAGGGTTATGGTGAGCATCATTCACTCATACCTCACCCAACAAGTGTGTGCCTGGTCAGTCAGTGTGACCCACAATTGAAGAAAGGTTCTGAAGAAGGGTCACCTAAGAAGATAGCCTGGACCCTAACTTTTTCTTATTTTATAGGCAAGTGCCAGGCTTTGCATTCCAGATGCAATTTGGTCAAACTAGCAGTGTTGAGGCAAACACACACTTTATTCATACACTACAGTTAAAATACAAAAGAAAGAACGTTACAATGGCTCAGTGGTTAGCACTGCTGCCTCATTCCACCTTCAGGTGACTGTCTGTGTGGAGTTTGCACGTTCTTCCCCGTATCTGCGTGGGTTTGCTCCGGTTTCCTCCCACAGTCCAGTGATATACAGGTTAGGGTGGATTGGCTTTGCTAAATTGCTCATAGTGCCAAGGGATGTGTAGGCTAGGTAGATTAGCCATGGGAAATACAGAGTTATCAGGATAGGGTAGGTTGGGTGGGTCTTGGTGGGACGCTCTTTGGAGGCACAGCACAGACTTGATGCACCAAATGGCCTGCTTCTGCACTGTAGGGATTATAAATTGAAATAACTTAACTCTGTTGGAAAACTTAATAGAATAATAGATTATTTAACTACTAAACAGTAACTGTTCCAATCTAATAACATCCCATAAACACACCCTTAGCAAGGCAAATTCAGTAAAATAGTTTGTCTCACATACAATTCTCCACTCCAGGAGGAAAAACATCAAGGGAAAACTCTGAGCGAGAGAGGAGCAGGGAGAGATGTACTTCATCTTCCAAACTTTGCTTCAAGACCCCAGCAACTGCTACTGAGAAACTAAAACTAAAAGTTTTGGTTCTGTGGGAGTTTGACCCCACCCATTCAGGCTGCTTCTATTGTTCCAACTTTGTTTAAAAACCCCAAGGCCTCATAAACTGTTTACTTTATTGGCTCTGAGTAGACCAATCAGTGCCTCTGCTTTAACCTTTCTTCATTAAAAAAAATTCCAGGACAAAATATACCTCTTAAAACCATAGTATTGTCAAATCCCCAAACATTAACTCTGATTTCTCTCCACAGATGCTGCCAGATCTGCTGAGTTTCTCCAGCAATTTCTGTTTTTGCTTCTGATTTCTAGCATCCGCAGTTCTTTGGCTTTTTTTTGACCGCAATAAATGCAGAGAAAGAAGGGTGGGTGGAAAGTAAAGGAAAATGAAAAGCTAACAATTAAAGATAAATATTAAAGGAGAAGTAGCAGTGGAGATGTGGGAGGCTGAGATGTTATCTTCATTCAGTCATGAGGTGTGGACACCACAGATAAGGCCTGCATTTACTTCCTGCTCCTAAGTTTCCCTTGAGGAAGCTTGGGTCCAACCGAGTGGTTTGCAAGACCACTTCAGAGTTGCATGTAGGCCAGACCAAGTAAGGGTGGCAGATTTCCTTCTGGGAAAATCATCCATTCTGCAGTTTCGCAGAAGGAAATCCTGACACCATTCTTGCCGTCAGCTCTTTACTCCAGCTTAGTTTTAATGAATTGAGTCTAAATACCTCAGCTGCTGCGGTGGGATTTGAACCCACTACTGCAAAGGAAAGTGATCATTAGAGATTAAAAAAAAATACTGAAAGGATAAACAAAAGAAAATTCAAAGCAGACGTGGAAATTGATGAAGAACCTCTGGAGGACTGGCAGTATCTGTGGAGAGAGGAAGAGAGTTAACATTTCCAGTACAGTATGACTTTTTCCAAAAAAAAAGTAACTACGGATGCTGGAAATCAAAAGGAAGTTAGAAATTGCTGGAGAAACTCAGCAGGTCTGGCAGCATCTGTGGAGAGAGAAACAGAGTTAATGTTTCGAGTCCAGTGTGAAGTCAGTTCTGAAATCGTTCTGAAGAAGGGTCACTGGACCAGAAACATTAACTCTGTTTCTCTCTCCACAGATGCTGCCAGACCTGCTGAGTTTCTCCAGCATTCACTGTGTTTGTTTCAGATTTCCGGCATCTGCAGTATTTTGTTTTTACATAAAAAAAACACAATTCGAAGTCCAATCATTGGCATGGTATGGCATTCTGGCATCCTTGTTTTTGGGGAGCTGAGAGCAGATGAGTTAGAATCATAGAATCCACTAACTCTTTGAAGAGCATCCTTCCCAGACCCACCTGCCCCCATAACCCTGCATTTCCCATGGCTAATCCACCTAGCCTGCACATCCCTGTTCACTATGGGCAATTTAGCACAGCCAATCCACCTAATCTGCGCATCTTTGGACTGTGGGAGGAAGCCAGAGCACCTGGAGGAAACCCGCACAGAAACTGGGAAAAATGTGCAAACTCCACATAGACTGTAGCCTGAGGGCAGAGTCAAACCCAGGGTCTCTGGCGCCATGAGGCGGCAGTGCTAACCACTGAGCCACTGTACAATTCAAGCATTATCAGCATTCCTGCTTCTCAACCTATTTTCAGAAACTGTAAGCCATTGTTTAATTTCTAGATTCTTACCAGAATACAGATGTTTTCTATCAGCATGGGGATATCTGTTAATCATGGCTCTAACAGGAAGCCAGTCTCTGCAGGTTGGTGTTGGAAGCTACAGAGTTCTCGGAATACCTAGCAGAAACAGACCAGGAAGGGACAGAATCTCCAACCTGCCAATGTTTTCTGCAGAACAGGGCTGGTAACTCAAACAATGCCGCCATTGTCCTCAGCTTGAATTCCACGGTGGGTGTCAGGTCCTGCCTTGGCACAGTGCCCGGTACCTTTACCATCACAAACTGTGGCGTCTGTCTGAGCTGCTTTGCTCAGCTCCACATCCATCATGTCAACCTGAGGCAAACCCTTTCTGTGCTGCGACTCCAGCTCTGAAATGCTTTTGTCGCACGGGCCTTTCCTCGTTTTGGTGGTCCTGTCAGATTGGCTGCCTGTTCTGCAAAAAGCTTGCTGTCAATTGCTGTGCTTTTTGGAGGCTCAGATTTCACCCCCTCGCCCACCATTAACAGTACACCCCTAGCTTCCTGACATTGAGAAATGTTGTGGAGGTGCCGGTGTTAGACTGGGGTGGACCAGGTCAGAAATCACACGACACCAGGTTATAGTCCAACAGGTTTATTTGAAAACAGAAGCTTTCGAAGCCTCAGTCCTTCTTTCAGGTGTTAGTTGAGAGAGGTAGTATCAGACATGGAATTTATAACTAGAAGATCAAAGGTTCACACCACTGATGAGGATGTAGTAAACAAACCTGAGATGCTGTTAAATCTTTAATCAGTTAGAAGGTTTTAATTGATTAATATGTATGTGTACATGATTAAAGATTTAACAGCATCTTAGGTTTGTTTACTACATCCTCATCAATTTTTTATGTTTCTATGACTCAGGGACGAGAAGATGTAAGAGCAAAAGTAGACCATTCAGCCCATTGAGTCTGCTGTGCCATTAAGTGTGATCGTGGCATATCTGATAATCCTCACCTGCATTTTCCTGCCTTAGTCCTTGATTGCTTTACCGATTAAAAATCTGTCTCTCTCAGCTTTGTATATGCTTAATGACCAGCCTTGACAGCCCCCTGTGGTAAAGATTTACATGATGAGGGCATTAAGTGAGTATTATTTAAGCATCGTGTTTCTGGGACGGGAGTTTTGTGGGTTTAGTTGGAACTTTGAGAGTCGCCTTGGATACAGACAAAATGTCTACTCTTTATAGGACAATAAAGTTGTAGGAAGAGCAGGAAAACTGGGTTATACAGATAATGCTTGTCTCGCTGCAGGTCTTACAAGATACCAGTGCCTCTGAAGGCCAAGTGGTTGTCCTGGAATGTCGAGTTAAGGGGACCCCTCCCATCAAAGTACAGTGGCTGAGACAAGGAGCAGAGATTGAAGATTCTCCGGACTTCCGAATACTTCAGAAAAGTAATGAATACGTTGCAGACGCGAGTTCCACTCAGGTTTTTTTTTCTCGGCACAGTCCTCCCGAAACAACAGATTGTGGAATTTTATGTAAAAGTCAATTTTCCATGATCTCTCATGCTAGTTTTAAAACTATTCTGTCAGAACCAAATCGATTGCAGCCCCAAATCTAAGAAGTTACTGTGCAGGTTTTCAATCACTGCACCTTTTTTTGCAGGCCTTCAGGGAAAGTGCAGAAAATTAGGAGTTTTGTTGGTCACAAGGACACCAATAAGGAACATTTTAAACCCTGTCAAGTGTAATCTTTTTCAAGCTTTCCTAAGAAACTGACTCTTGTACATTAGATTCACTAGCGTTGCTTCTACATCTCATTTCCTTTTTAAGTCATCTTCAGTTAACATTGGTTTAATCACGTAGAAACTAGGAGCAGGAATAGGCCAATCGGCCCATCAAGCCTGCTCTGCCTTTCCAATATGGTCATGGCCAATTATGCCTAGTGAGTTAGACATTACCTCAAAATGGTCCTGTGTTCTTCAGACTGAACTGTGTTTGCTGTCTTAAATATAATAAATATTTTTAATATTTGCAAATACCCAATGACTGGAAAAGAAAGACATTCTGAAAACATATTGCAAAACTCCGGTTTTACATTCAGGAGTATGTGGAAACTTGATGATGTTTCATAAAAACCCATGCAAGTTTGGGTGTGGATTGTACCCAAAACAGAAAGTCTGCACCCAAGAGCTGAACTCGTTCACTTTGAAAGGACAGGAGCTAATTTGCTGTCTCTGCTTTTCTGTTCCATGTTACCTCCGTCCTGGTGTGATGCTCAGAGCCTCGATCAGCCACGGAGCCTGGTAAGGTCCTGCAATTGTGATCATCCTAAATATAGCAAGGTTCTTGAACATTGGTGGGGCCTGCTTATTGTCTTCTGTTCTTTGCTAACCCACTCTGTGGGGTGTACTTACCTGCCATGGACATCAGAGGTTCAAGAAGGTAGCTCACCACCAACTTCTTGAAGGGTAATTAGGGAATAGCTGAGTCAGCAATGCCCTCAGGCCCTGAATGGATAAAACAAAAATGACTCAGTTCAGGAAACCTATAAGACTCTATGGCTGTATAGTGTAGCAACACTCAGAGTTCTGTTGGATGGGGGATTCCATGATTTTGATCCAATGTCAATGAAGGAATGATGATCTGTCATGAGTCAGGACAGTGTGAGGTCAAAGAGTACGGTCAGGCTAGTTCCATGTTTAATTATTCAGCGGCGGTTCAGTGCAACTGAGTGATTTTCTGGGCAGTTCAGGGAGCAGTTAAGAATGAATTGCATTGCTGTGGATCTGTAGCCCCTGTGCATAGACAGTACGTTTCAAACTAATGCAACAGAAACAGAAATTGCTGGAGAAACTCTGCAGGTCTGGTGGCATCTGTGGAGAGAGAAAGCAGAGTTAATATTTCAAGCCCAGTGATCTTCACCAGAACTCAGTTTCTGATTTTGTTTCGGATCTCCACAGTTCTGTATTTTTTTCAAATTTATGTATTGGCTGACTCAACAATAAAAGAGAATAAATGAAGAAATAGGCTATTTAGTCCCTCAAACCTGCTTGGCTATTCAGCAAGTTCATTAGCTGACCTTCTACCGCGACTCCACATTCCCATTCTAGCCCCGTCTCCCTTAACTGAGTAGAAAATTCCAAAAATTCACAACACTTCAGAGAAGGCATGCCTCCTCAACCCCAGTCTAAAATGACCAAACTTTTATCCTAAATTTGTGATCCTTAGCTGTAGAGCTATTCAGGGAAAGCAACCTCCCAGCACCTACCCTATCAAGCCCTCTCTGAGTTTAATATGTATCAGTGACAGTTCCTTCTATTCTCCAAATATAACAGACCTGTTCTACCCAATCCCTCCCAAAAAGTTAGTCCTGTGATCCCAGAAAATCAATTACGCTGCCTTCCATATAGTCAATCCACAGCGGGCTACAATATGTCAAATTTTACTGTGCAATGTTTTAATTGATCTATGTTTGATCGTATTAGTCTGTTGGCTGATCTGTGTTAACATTGCTTGATTGATTAAATATGGAAGTAGCCTCTGAGAGCTAAAATAAACAAAAGCTTCCAGTGAATGACCTGAGAAACTAGACCTATGAAGAGGTGTGTAGATATCCTGTGATCGCTGAGAAACTTTAAAGCCCTGTAAATAAACCAAGACTTTGAATTAATCCTCTGCACTGCTGTGAGGTAAATCAAATCTATAAAATATACAACAAACTGGCGAAAACAGAATACAGAGATAGTAAGAATTGCCGACGCTGGAGTCAGAAATAACACAGTGTGGAGCTGGAAGAACACAGCAGGCCAGCATCAGAGGGGCAGGAAAGTTGACGAATACATGTTACAGAAGTCACAACATTGTTGTAATTCATTATTGGTACATCAGATGATATCCAAGTTGGACTTTCTCTTATATAACCTAGTGAGCTTTATCATTGATGACTGGTTAGGATCCCATCTGTGAGTCGAACATTAGTGTAAGTGTTGTACAGGAGTCCTACTCAATAGCAATTGTCTTGATACTTTCAGAAGAAGAAATCTGCACCCTGGTGATTGCTGAAACCTTTGCAGAAGATGCCGGAACGTTTACTTGCACGGTTACCAACCCTGCTGGCAACGTGTCTTGTAGTGCCCAGCTCACACTCAGGCCAGGTAGGTGATGTTGGTGATGTTTTTGCAGGAGAAGCAGTGAGAGGAAGCTGCTTCCTCTTAAACATAACGGGGGATCTGTCCTAGCCGAGTAATGTAAACCAGACCTTGTGTGTGATGCCTACGACATAAAACACTGAAGGGCAGAAAATTAAAAAGATACAACATTGAGGGATGACCCAATTTGAGAGGTTTGAAATTATTAAAAAAAAAGACTCTGATAGGAGGTGTAAAGGGAGCTTATTGCCTTGCATGGAAGATTGGGGATGTGTGGTGCCTCGATGAAAACAAGCTAAAAATTAATGTTTTTCTGCCTGTCTGTGTCTATCTATTTATTTAAAAATAAAATGTCCTGGAGCAACTCATGGAGAGAGAAAAACAGAGTTAATGTTTCAGGTCCAAAATGACCCTTATTATCTATTAGTTTGCTTATCATTGACTGTCTACCTCAATCTAGTTACCTGCCTATCTTCTCTATTCAGCTATCTCTATTTTGTAAGAATATAAGAAATAGGAGCGAGAATAAGCCATTCAGCCCCTGGAGTCTGCCAACCATTCTGTAAAATCGCAGCTGATCTGCTCTAGGCCTCAACTCCTCCATCATGTCAGCTCACCATAGCCCTCAACTCCATGATATTTCAAAAATCTATCTGCCTCCTCTTTAATTACTTTCACCTTCCTCTGATTTCCATCTGTCTTTGGCTCTGGCAGACTTCTCAATTTTAACTGCGCAGCCTGAAAAATACAATTAATTCCAATTCAGATGCCCGAAACCAAGTTCTGTCCTGAGCTGATTCATGTCGCAAAGTTGCCTCTGTTTGGGTCCTGTGTCACTCCCGGTCAGCATGAATCACAAACCTGCTCTGACTCAGGGGTCAGCGTACGCTCAGCTGACAAAACAAGGAAAGAAATGACTTTGTGTTTCTCCATCACTGGGTTCTCCTCTCCTGGCATCTCGAGGCACCTCACATGTTAAATTACTTTGGATTTACATGTTGACTGTTGGATGGGCGAATGTGACAGCCACTCTGTACCAGCAATGAGTTCAGAACCTACAGGTGGTTGTTTTGATTCAATGGGCTGAAGGGCCTTTTTTCTGTGCTGTGGGCCTCTCTGACTCTGTGACTCTAATGATAATAGCACACTGTTTGATAATCCATGCTGAGAGAAGACTGCCAGTCCTTATCATCTTCAGGTCCTCAACATTCAACTTCAACCAGCTAAAAATTCTGAAAAGGACAGGGTGGAGGGTTCCATCTCCAGTAACAGAAACTTATGTCTGAATATTGTCAAAAGTCTTTAACTTCTCCCGGGTGAGAGGAGTGTGCAACAGCCTCATTTTCTAATGTATCGAATACTCAGATGTCTGCTCCCATATGTAATACCGTGTTAGGGCTGTGAAAATTTATATAAAATTTACCCTCCTTAAGAGTCTACGTTAGTGATGTCTTCAACTGCTACACATGCCTGTTTCGTAGGCTTGTGGAGCAGTTGCCTCAAACATTAGATACAGCCTGATAATGACCAAATGTTCTGAGGTCATGGATTCAAATCCCCACCATGGGAAATGGTGAAATTTGAACTCAGTAAAAATCCAGAATTTAAAAATACAGCTTGTCTATTGGTGACCACATAACCATTATCAGTTTTATTAAAAAACCCATCTGCTTCACTACTTTAGGGAAGGAAACTGCCATCCTTACCTGGTCTGGCCTACATGTGACTCCAGACCCGCAGCAATGTGGTTGACCCTTAATTGTCCTCTGGGTAATTAGAGTCGTAGAGATGTACAGCACTGAAACAGACCGTTTGGTATAACTCGTCCATGCCGACCAGATATCCTTATTAATCTGGTCCCATTTACCAGCTTTTGGCCCATATCACTCTAAACCCTTCCTATTCATTTACCCATCCAGATGCCTTTTAAATGTTGTCATTGTACCGACCTCCACCACTTCCTCTGGCAGCCCTCTGTGTGAAAAAGTTGCCCCTCAGGTCCCTTTTAAATCCTTCCCTTCTCACCTTAAACCTATGCCCTCTAGTTTGGATACCCCCACCCCAGTGAAAAGACCTTGGCTATTCACTCTGTCTATGCCCCTCATGATTTTATAAACCTCTATAAGGTCACCCCTCAGACTGCGACGCTCCAGGGAAAATAGCCCCAGCTTATTCAGCCTCTCCCTATAACTCAAACCCTCCAACCCTGGCAACAACGTTGTAAATCTTTTTCTGAACCCTTTCAAGTTTAGCAACATCTTTCCCATAACAAGGAGACCAGGATTGAACACAGTATTCCAAAAGTGGCCTGACCGATGTCCTGTACAGCTGCAACATGATCTCCCAACTCCTGTACTCAGTACACTTATCAATGAAGGCAAATGTGCCAAATGCCTTTTTCACCACCGTGTCTGCCTGTGACTCCACTTTCAAGGAACTATGAACCTGCACTCCAAGGTCTCTTTGTTTGGCAACAGAGCGGCACAGTGACTCAGTGGTTAGCACTGCCGCCTCTCAACGCCGGGAACCTGGGTTTGATTCCACCCCCAGGTGACTGTCTGTGTGGGGTTTACATGTTCTCTGCGTGTGTGTGTGTGTGCGTATTCCAGTTTCCTTCCACAGTCCAAACATGTGCAGGCTAGGTTGGTTAACCATGGGAACTGTAGGAATACAGGGATTGGGTGGGATGCCGTTTGAAGTGTCAGTGTGTAATTATGGGCTGAATGGCCTGCTTCCACGCTGTAGGGATTTTATCATTCTGAGTTTGTTTAGATACGCACTGTGCTGAAATGGGGGCTTTATTAGCTGCATATGTAGGGCAGGAATTTGTTTGTACCTGTTGCTTGGAAATGGTATGCACCAAACCATTAGGAGCCTTTCAGAATGAGGTGTTGACGTCAGTATTTGTGACTGGTTTGTCGGTCCAAGTGAGTTCCACTTGTGAAGTCCCTACAGTCTATCAAGGTTTTTCAAACATTCACAGGATGTGGGCATCAACATTTGTTGTCCATCACTAAAATTGGAGACGTAGTGGGCAGCCGTCTTGTGCTTGTGAGTTTTTCTGGGGCAGGGATTGTTGGGTTCTTTCAGAAATAGCGAGAGGACCGTCATGTCATTGAGGAAATGAGTGGGAAAAGGAGGACTGGCATACCTTCGACCAGAACTAGGTGTCCCTGTTCTTGGACAAGAATTCATGTGACAGGCTTACAGCTGGCCCGGTCAGAGATAGGTTGAGGTGAGGCATTGCCAGGATTCCCTCCTCACCCTTTCTTTTGCCCTTTTCCTGCCCAGACGTACTCCCGTCCAAAATTGTGTGTGGGAGAACATTGGGCCATTTGCCTCCTAGGTTTAATATTTCTGGTCACTGAGGAACCCACTGAGTTACACAGCAGCCTGGAGGGGCCACCTCTCATCCTTCCATTACGTCTGATCACAGATCAATTCAGGAGAGATTTCTGCTCCGTCCTATGCCGGGAAAAGAAAAGAACACAATCGGGTATGTGGTCTGCAATATTGACCCAGATTTTCCAATGGTCAGATAGTCAATCCACTGGAATCCCACCCTCAGCTGAATCCATGGAAAATCCCGGAAAATTACATTTTACAATAAGACCAGAAGAAATAGAAACACAGGTAGGCCATTCGGCCCCTCGTGCCTGCTCTTCCATTCAATAGGATGGGCAATTTCCCTGCACACAGAACTCCTTTGAAAGGCTCCACAGAGGTAGGAGAATTTGGACAGTCCCAACTCACTTCAGCCTAATGGTCACCCAAGAAAAGCCTGTTCCAAAGGCACCTTCTAACTGAGGAACGGATGTGAGCGATTTAGACATAAACTTGACTTGATCAGTTAAGCGATAGAGTCGCTGTCCATGTTGTGGAAATCTAGCGTTCTGCCCCACCACTCCGCAAAAACAAAAGCTATTGAGTTTGGGAATCAGTTGTAGATTTCTCATTGCGGTGGAGAGATTTGTCCACTGTGAAATGTGGAACCTAGGCTGGCTAACCAGAGTTAAGGTACAGATCAGACATGATCTAGTTCATTAGTGGAGAACATGATTGGTTGGGGATGGGGGAGGTCATGTGACCAATTCCTCATCCTCACTCTCTGTCTGATACTGTACCTGTACACAGTCAGACAGTATCCAAACTAAGGCAGATAGTTGCTCAAGCAACTTAGTGTTGCTGCAATGTAGAATCAAATTTTCCTTACTGTACATGACAGTGGAGTAAATTGCAGAAGAATTTCAGAGTTACTTGTGAGATGCCAAACTAAATGCTTTGAACTATCACTCAGGTATTTCTTTTTAATACCCGTAAGGGGGAATAATTTGTACAGAAATTATTTCCCTTAGGCTTACTGGCTCCCATTTCAGTGGGAAACTAATAATGGAATATACAGAGAGAGGAGGTATGTCTGCAGGAGCAGTGAGCATCTGTGATGCTAAGCTGAAATGTTTCGGCTGGCAGTTGGCCCATACAACATGCCTGTGTGGAATTCCAGGTGTCCTTTTGATAATGGAATGTGATCCGTATCTTGCTGCTATGGAGCAGCAGGTGATGCTACTGCTATCAGGTTAAGACACAAACCAGCCCAGTCGATCGATCACCTTCTGTCTGTCTACTGCCAAACGGCAGCGGCAATGTGTGCCATCGACAAACCATCGTTGAAGGCCTTTCACTTGAACTTTCCAAATCCACGACCACTGACCACCAAGAAGGACAAGGACAGCAGATACAAGGGAACACCACCCCCTGCAAGTTCCCCTCCAAGCCCCTCACCGTCCTGACTTGGAAATATATTGCTGTTTCCTTTACTGTTGCTGGATCAAAATTTATTTTCCGTGTTCTTTCATGGGATGTGGGTGTCTCTGGGTAAGGCAGCATTTGTTGCCAATCCTTAAATGTCCTTGAATTGAAGGGCATGCTGGGCTGTTTCAAAGGACATTGGTGAATAAATAGGATTTTACAACATGGTCACAATTCAAATTCCAGATTTTATTAATTGAATTCAAATTTCACAAGCTGCCCTGATGAGATTTGAGCCCATTTCCTAGGAGATTAACCTAGGCTTCTGGATTAATGCTTGAGTAACAATGCCGCTATACTAGTGCCTTCTCTCAAAAATCAAGGAATTCATTTTCTGACAGCACTGTGGGTGTCCCTACACCAAAAATGGTCTGAGAAGTTGGATCACCAGCACCTCTTCCAGGGCAATTAGGAATGACGCATCGAAAAGGTGCATTGCACCCTCCATTTCCAGCAGGGCCTGTAACTGAAACCAATACTTTAGGCTGCCGTGTCTACATTCGCTCTTGATGAGAGAAACTCCAATCATCCCACTCTCCCCTTCTTTTCTCCACATTCCTGCCAGTCCTTTCTCTTCAGATAATTATCTGATTCTCATCCAAAGCCGTGATTGGAGCTGCCCTCCCTCATCCCACTCTCTCAGGCAGTGCATTTGTCAGCACTAACCACATATTTTCAGCATATAAACATTTTTCCTCTAATTGCCTCTGCTTAGAATACATCATAGAATCCCTACAGTGTGGAAACAGGCCCTTCAGCCCAACAAGTCCACACTGACCCTCAGTGTATCCCACCCAGAGCCATCCCACCTAACCTACACATCCCTGAGCACGATGGGTAATTTAGTGCAGCCAATCCACCTTGCCTGCACATCTTTGGACTTTTGCCAATTTCCTTAAATCTGTGTCTTCTGCTTCTGGGTCCTTCACAAATGGGAACCGTTTCACGTTATCTACTGTCGAAGGCCCAGTTTGGCATCAGAATGGGTAGGTGCCTACATGCCTCCCCTCCCTGCACTAATCGGGATCGAAGCTGATGGGGTCCTCACCTGGCACCCTCTGAACTGGTCAAATGCTCCTACCACCTCCAGCTTCACCTCAGGATAACACCATGAAATTCTGCCCAATAAATTCAACTTTACAACATGCATTGGCAAGATTCGAACACTTGATTAGAAACAAAGAACTGCAGAGGCTGGAAATCAGAAACAAAAACAGAAATTGCTAGACAAACTCAGCAGGCCCAGCACCGTCTGTGGAGAGAAAGCAGGGTTAATGTTTTGGGGCTGTAGACTCTGCGTCAGAACTGAAGATGCTGCCTTAATTTTGCCAGCGATTTCTGTTTTTGTTTTGAACTCCTGGTGAAAGGTTGCGGACCTGAAGTGTTAACTCTGTTTCTCTTCCTGCAGATGCCACCTGACCTTCTGCAGTCTCTGCTTTTATCTCAGGTTCCCAGCATCTGAAGTCTTTTCTGTTTTGAACCTTTGAACTCTGGGTTGCTAGGCCAGCAACACAAATACCAAACAAAGCGGGCATTGATTTAACAAACTAGTCTAATTCCAACTCTCTCCTCTCTCTCTGCAGGAGATGAAAGGGCGCCAAACAATGGGAATGGTCTAGTGGATAATATTATCCCATCACCTCAGAATGAAATTAGCTCATTAGAATTGCCTCCTAAGAGGACAGTTGACCCAGTCCAGGAGAAGAGCCTTGAGATCAAGCCCAGTGTAGCTGCCTTCGAACTGCAGCTCAGTCCTGCCGAGAAGTTACCCAATGGTAGTTCTACGAGCCACGAGATCAATGGACCAAACCAAGGGCAATGTACACAGTCTGCAGCCGCACTCCCATCCCCAGTAAAGGAACCACCACCTCTAGCTGCCAAACCCAAGCTGTAAGTACCACAGTTTACTCATTCTCATTTCATCCCTCCTTTATTTTGAACAGGGCATCTTTGGTTCGGCACTATCATTGCAACAATTCTGCTTCACTTGTGCTTTAATGTAAAAGCACGTTTGGAGCACAGTGCACTATACAGGTTTAACAAACTGATATGCATATGTGCAGTTTTACAATCAATTAATAATTTAGCACTGGCACATGTTCTCATCTTTCTCTTCTGAACACTTTCTGATTTGATTTGACTTATTATTGTTGTGTGTACCTAGGTACAGTGAAAGGTTTTGTTTGGTGTGCAGTGCAGGCAGATCATACCATGCAAAGTGCATTAGGGTAACAGAACAGAGCAAAGAATAGAATGTTACGGCTGCAGGGAAGGTGCACAAAGAGTGAGATCAACATTAAGTTTCAAATTTGAGAGATCCATTCAGAAGTCTAATAACAGCGGGGTAAAAGCTGGTCTTGAATCTGTTGGTATGTGTGTTTAAGCTTTTTTATCTTCTGCCCACTGGAAGAGGTTGGAAGAGATTGACTGTAATGGGAGGAGTTATTGATGATGTCGGCTGCCTTCAGGAGGTAGTGAGAAAGATAGCTGGAGTCAATGTTTGGGAAAGTTGGCTTGTGTGATGGACTGGGTTGTGTTCACAACTGCTCTGTAGTTTCTTATGGTCATGGGCAGAGCAGTTGCCGTACAAAGCAATGATGCATCTAGACAGGATGCTTTCTATGGTGCCTCTCTGAAAGTTGGTAAGAGTTCCTGCGGACATGCCAAATTTCCTTAGCCTCCTGAGGAAGTAGAGACATTGTTGCACTTTCTTGACCATCTCATCAACGTGGATGGACCAGGACAGATTGTTGGTGATCATCACTCCCAGGATCTCAACCAGCTCCACCTCAGCACCATTGTTGCAGATGGGAGCGTGCCCTCCACCTGGCTTCCTGAAGTCAATGACCAGCTCTTTCATTTTAGTGACGTCGAGGGAGAGATTGTTATCGTTACACCACACCACAAAGCACTATATCTTTCTATCCCGTTTGTATTCTGACTCATCGTTGTTTGAGATCCAACCTACAACTGTGGTGTCATCAGCAAACTTGTAGATGGAGTTAGGACGGAATTTGGCCACAACAGTCATGATTGTACAAGGAGTACAGTAAGGGGCTGAGTATACAGTCTTGCAGGACGCCTGCGTTGAGTATTGTCAAGGACAAGGTCCTGTTGCTCATTCTTACTGCTTGAGGTCTGTGGGTCAGGAAGTTGAGGATCCAGTTGCACAGGGTGGAGCAGAGTCCTATATCCTGGAGTTTGAATATTAATTTGATTGGAGTTGTAGTGTTGAAGGTGGAGCTGTGCACATATCAAGGATTTGTTTACAGTTGTTGGAGAGATCAAAAGATGAGGCCATGAATATGAAATAATGACTAATAAATGCAAGAGGGAATTCTGGAGGAATCTCTGCGCTCAGAGAGTGATGAGAATGCGGAACTTGGTAGCACGAAAAGCAATTGAGACTAATAACAAATGTAAGGTGCTTTTAAGAAGAAAGTAGATGAGGGAGAGAGAGAGAGGTAGCAGATGATGCCGATGGGGTGAGATGAGGAGATTTAAGCACGGAGTAAACTCTGACATGAAGTACATGGGTCAACAGAGCTGTCTTAGTGTTGCAGATTTTATGCTTGCAGTCTTCAACCTTGAGTCTGGACGGGGAGAAGATTCAGGAATGATAACATTGGGTTGACTAGCCAAAGCAACCTAAGCTTTTGAGCAGTCATACCAGGTCAATACAGCAGTGACTGTCTCTCCGATGGGAACAAGTAGCCAATTAGACCTAATAAGGTTTATGGTTATGGCAAAGAGTTCATTAAATAAATTACACCATTAGTGTTTAAGATTAGGTAACTAAATCAAGGTTAAGGTTAACTTGAAACAGCAGAGATGGTTGCTTTAGGAACAGAAACAGAAATTGCTGGAAAAGCTCAGCAGGTCTGACAGCATCTGTGAAGAGAAATCAGAGTTAACGTTTTGGGACCGGTGGAGCCTTCCTCAGAAGGGTCAGTTTCTTTAGGCTTCTTTAGTCTGTCAGATTTACTGTCGGTCATTCAATTGGTCTCTGGCTGTGGCAGACTGCCGTTTTGTAGGACAATGTCTCGTTCTGTGCTGTACGGGCAGGTATTCATTTCATTTTAACGTGAAGAGTATTTGCAGATGCCACCAGGAAAAAGGTCAAAGGGTTTGTTCAGCTCAACACCGAGAAAGTCAATGCAGCATTTCAATCATTTTATTAATCCTGTCCCATCAACATGATCTGGCTCATTAATTGTTCTTTATGAACTACCTGTGTGTCAGCTAACAACTCGAACCACTCCCCCACTCTAAAATAGTTGCGATGGATGGCGTTTATTCAAACTGAAGTGATCGGTATGTTCATTTGGCAGGATAGCAGAAAGCTGCATTGACTGATTGAACTCATGTGTGAGGGTTGATGTGCGTGTGTGTTCACGCTTAAATGTGACAGTGTGTGTGGGTATGTGTATGTCTGTGTGTGTTCCTGCTCTGGTAACTGTATATATGCCTCTACCTTTCCCTCCCATAGAGATACAGTACACTGGACACCTCAAATTGAATGACTTGCTGCCAGTGATAGCGTGCAAACAGTTCATGTTCCATATACTTTGAAGGATGCTCAGCCCATTTTTAAAAATTAATTTTAAGATTAAAATTCAGGGGATGTGGGCTTTGCAGGAAGGGCCTGCATCTGTGACACATCACTCATTGACCTTGTGAAAGTGATGGTGAACTAAACTGGAACTACTGTGGTGTACTTGATGTAAGAGGCAATTGCAGGATTTTGACCGAACAACACCGAAGGAACAGCAATATATTTTCAAATCAAGGTGGGAATGGCTTGGAGGGGAAAGGCCGTATCTGTTGCCGTTGTCCTTTTAGATGGAAGTGGTCGTGGGTTTGGAAGGTGCTGTCTGAGGATCTTTGGTGAATTTCTGCAGTGCATCTTGTAGATTGTACACACTGCTGCTACTGAGCATCGGTGGTGGAGGGAGTGGATGTTTGTGGATGTGGTGCCAATCAAGCGGGCTGCTTTGTCCTGGATGGTGTCAAGCTTCTTGAGTGTTGTTGGAGCTGCACTCATCCAGGCAAGTGGGGAGTATTCCATCACACTCCTGACTTATGCCTTGTAGATGGTGGACAGACTTTGGGGAGTCAGGAGGTGAGTTAGTCACTACAGGCTTCCTAGCCTCTGACCTGCTCTTGTAGCCACAGTGCATATATGGCAAGTCCAGTTCAGTTTCTGGTCTGTGATAACCCCTAGGATATGATTGTGAATATTTCTGATCAAATCCTGAGAACAGTAAAAATGCCTCAATATTTGAACAGCAGGATTCCCCTTTCCTGGGACTTTAGCTGTTGGAAATCCAGCATCCATTGTCTTCCCTTGCTGCTTATCTCTTGAATACAGTGTAAGTGGAAATTTGCCAACAGATTGATGTTTATCAGATATGTTGTTTAATTCTGGCAGGGCCTGATGTTCAAGAGCTGTTTGAACATGTGCATAAATCAGTCACAAACTGTAGATAAGGCGTCAATAATCAATCCAAACCACCACGGATGGTGGAAATCTGAAATAAATGAAACACTGCAAGACCTGGAGAAGGCAGGGAGGTGTTGCAGCACTTGTGGAAACAGAAACAGAGTGAACAATTTGAGTCTAGTACAACTCTTCTTCAGAACAGGGGCTCGGCAATGTGCTAAAGGAAATACAGCATCTTTCATAGCCTGTGGCCATCTCTAACTCTCTTTACAGCTATTAAAGGAAAGTAAAGGGGTGGTATTGTAGCTCAGAGGTTAGCACTGCTGCCTCACAGTGCTGGGAACCCGGGTTCAATTCCACCCTCTGGTGACTGTCTGTATGGAGTTTGCACGTTCTCCCCATGTCTGCGTGGGTTTCCTCCGGGTGCTCTGGTTTCCTCCCACAGTCCAAAGATGTGCAGGGTAGGTGGATTGGCTGTGCTAAATTGCCCATTGTGTTCAGGGATGTGTAGATTAGGTAGGTGATGAGAGATGCTCTGAGGAGCAGTGTGGACTTGTTGGGCTGAAGGCCCTGTTTCCAACTGTAGGGATTCTAAGATTCTATGTGCAGGCTCGGTGGATTGGCCATGCTAAATTGCCCATAGTGTCCAGGGATGCATAGGTTAGGTGGATTAACCATGGGAAATATGGGGTTACAGGGATAGGGTAGGGGGTGAGTCTTGGTGGCTTTTCGGAGGGTTGGTGTGGCCTTATTGGGCCAAATGGCCTGTTTCCACACTGTAGGGATTCTATGAAATAATGCCATATGCGTTTGTCAGTTTTATTGAATGTGGTGCATGTGGCAACCAATTTGTGCACAGCTCCATTCTGCAGTTTGTTGATTCACTGTGTTTCTCTGAAAGCCTTGTTCCTCAAAGCCAAGGCCTTGTTTTGTAACCCAGCCAGAATAAACCATCTATACTTAATCCCCTCGTCCAGCTGAGGTAAACTCTGTTGGTAATAACAGGTCTGTTTTAGCACCATTGTCTTCTACATTATATACTCTATCCACAATTGGGGTCAGTGGGAAGGTAGTGCAGAGGTGGCGGGCAGTGTAGGGTGCGGAGTTGGGAGAGAGTGGGGGGAAGATGCCACAGGGGATGGTGAATGGAGATGTGGGGTGTAGGGGGTTGGGGGGTTGGTGTTGCAAGAGGAAACTGCAGAAGGTGGGAAGGGGCAGTAACGAAGGTGGTGGGGGGAGGCGAAGTGTTGAGCACTGAAAATTGGAGCATGGAGCCATTGCTATCTCTTTTGACAGTTTTAACGCATGCACAAGTCCCAAAAGGCTATGTGACTACAACACCTGAAAAGTAGAAAGGTTGGGATTAAGGAGCAGGGTTTACTTTGTACAACAGGCTGCTGCATGTCCCTGGATCCTCTCATTCACCTTGCCTAAGCCCACGCTCCCTCATA